GGTGGTGGTGATGGTGATGGTGGAAGTAGTGCATCATAGGGGAACTCTTGCAGGTCATGTGTTCAGCGCGCAGCACTTTGAAGCGCTTCCTCCTCCTCAGGAAACTGCCGTTTTCAAACATGTCACCGCAGTCCGGGTGGAGAGCCCAGAAACTGCCCTTCCCGGGTTGATCGGGCCGCCGGGGGATCTTGATGAAGCAATCGTTGAAAGAGAGGTTGTGTCGGAGGGAGTTCTGCCACCTCTGGGTGTTCTCTCGGTAGTATGGAAAGCGATCCATGATGAACTTGTAGATGTCACTCAGAGGCAGCATCTTCTCGGGGGAGTTTTGGATGGCCATCGCTGTCAGGGAAATGTAGGAGTAAGGAGGCTTCTGGTCGCTGTAGGAGTTTTTCCCAGGACGGGGCATAACTATTACTGATCTTCAAAAAATAATTAGCTTCAAGTAAATAACTTTTTTTAGTTATATTCTTCGGGTTTGCTTCATTGAAAGTCCGTCTCCATCCAACTGATTGGTTCCAAAACTCTAAGTCATCAACTTAGATTATTTCTTTATTTCAACCAGAAGGCCTGCAGCAGACAAGTAAAAAATCCCCAGGGGTGCAGGCATCCACACATAACTCTCTATGCCAGCCTATTCACTAAATTGACGCTCTTTAGAGTTGTGCGCAAAACTCTGTCTTCGTGCGTAAAAGTTGAGAGGTCCTGTGCGTCCCCCCTCGTTTGGCCCGGGCGGTGTGTGTGTGGCTCCGGTCCTCTTTCCTCCTTTCCTCCTCATGTGCGAAGCTCCCACTCTCAGCGCTATGTTTTTGTAAGCCCCCCGCAGGTCGTATGCTCTATTATCTGTGATCCAGACACTTAAGGGACACGAGCAGAGGGTTATGCGCGAGTCTCTCTGTGTGTGTGTGAGTGTTTATGAAAGCAGGGTGGTAGGAGACAGTGAATATAAGAGGAAAAGTCATGAGAGGAGGGGCGATCTGTAGGCGCGCTTGCTTCTAATCTGCTGTTTGCCAATCAGAACCCAGTGTAAAACACCCAGACAGATGTATTGTGAAATATATATATTATAACTGTGTTTAAAGTGTTGACTCTTAGAAAATATTCCACCTATTCTTTTCTGATTGGCGTTGACCTTTGACCTCTGTTTTCTCAAAAAATAAGATTTGTTTTTATTAGAAAATCATTTGTTCAAAAGATGATTTCAACAAACTTAATTTGGAAACATTTAGAGTGATACTTTATAAATTAGACAACAACATGGTGGTGAAGATTTGGAGTCATCCAGGTCATAGTTGTTCCAAAAAAGTTAAAAAACAAACCACTGGACCTTGTTTTCAAAGTTTGAAGACATTTCACCTCCCATCCAGGAAGGTTTTTCAATTCAAAATGGATTAGTTGAGTTCCAGGCTTTTTACACAACAACAACAAAATGTACAGTATGAATGCATTATAAAACAGTCCACAGCAAAACACTAGAAAAGCACTCTGAGAGCTCAGACCACCGCTAACCAGCACACTCTGTGACTTAGACCTAGAGCTACAACTCGCTTATGATCTGGATCATTACCAAATTGAAATGAATTGTTCCTTGGCATGAGGCACACCTCTATTCAGTTCATCTTCTATTTAGCTTATTTATATAGCGGTAATTCACAACAGATGTCATCTCAAGGCACTTTACAGAGACAAATCAACCAGATCATACAGTCATACTGGTTTAAAGTTTCCTATCTAAGGAAAACCAGTTGATTGCATCGACTCATTGATTCAAAGGTAATCCCTCATACTAAGGATACTTGTTTGCAACAGTGGAAAGGGAAACTCCCTTTTAAAAGGAAGAAACCTCCAGCAGAACCAGGCTCAGTGTGAGCGGCCATCTGCAGAGACTGACTGGGGTTCAAGGAGACAGAAGCAGACATACAGAAAGAAGCAAAGATACAAAAAGGCAACCGTCCAGGAAACACAGCCAGGCGGACGAGCTCCGAGCCAGCTCCCATGTCAGAGTATGAAAGAGAGCACATAAAGTTAGTCATTATAAGAGAAACAGGACTGCACTGAAAAACATGCCAAGCTCCAACTATCTACATCTATAAACAAAGGTGTTGATGTCAGCAACACAGCTGATATTTCTCGCCAGGATGGAGTCAGAATCAAACAGGAACAGACCAGATGAAGCTACTATGATGAAAAAAGCAGAGAGAGTGTAACGTTAGAGTTTGAACTAGAAAACCTTTTGGTAAAAAAAAAAAAAAAAATCCATAAAATCTTTTCAGAGGTTTTCAATTGATCTTGCTAACAAACCATCAAGGTTCAATTCATTTTTCTTTTTGTCTTTAGTAAAATACAACATTTTGAGTCAGATGCAGAGGCTATATTGTCACTGCTGCCACCCGCTGGTTTAGTGAGGAAATGCTTGTTCCCTATCTCACAATGTTAGAGAATCTTTTTTTTAATTCTTGTATCCAGATTATGATCTGGATCACCACCAAAATTGAAAGGTTTGTCTTTGGCACTAGAGACACCTCTGATAAGAATTTAATAAAACTCCATCCAGAGCGTTTCAAGTTATCCCGTACACAGACAGACATTTGTGCATAAAGCTTGCCCTTCTGAGACTTTGTGAAGGCAAATCTGTGTTTTGCATGGTGTCACACACCTAAAAGAATAAAGCCTATAAAAATGATTTCTTTTCTGACAATGTGTTTATTTAAGAGCAACTATGCACATTAACAAACATCTACAAAAAGTACACTATATTATATTATTTTCCATGTGAATCCCAGATTGTTCATGCTTTTTTGCCTTTTCTAAAAAGTGCTTTAAATCAGTCCTACCTGTCTTTATCCATGCTGGGCTAGATCCTGATGTTTGAAAAAGGAAGCAGGCAGTCAAGGCAGCAGAATAAAGCATTAGCCTCGCTGCATGCAGTTAGCCAAGCCTTGTAGCTAAACCACGTCCTGGAAAAAAAAACAGTGTACATCTGTCTTTTGCACTGCTGATTAATTTTGATGTTCGGCTGATCTGGTCCAAATGGTTTCACCTCCAGCTTCTCTTGGTAAGTTTGCTTCCCTTCCGCTACTCGGCCTGTTAATCACATGCACAACAACTGTGACGACAGTTCCTGTCTTGGTGCATCCAGAGCTCTCCTATACTTGTGTATTGCAGAGGAGCAACTGCGCATGTACAACTTTTAACAAGACTCAATGGAGAAACATTTTTGCGCCCTAGGGCGGAAATATGTCTTCAATCAGACGAAAAATGAATTGACGCTTTACTTGTCATTAAAGCTTAAATATTTATCTTGCACATCTAAAAAATATATATCAACATATTTTGAAATATTTTATAATCATGAATTATAAAATATACATTTTATAGTTTAATTATTATTTTTTTTTTTTATGTCTTAATAAAGGTCATTGGGCTGATGGGGTGGCGCCATAACGCCCTCTATTGGCCAGCTGCCACTGATCCCCATTACCATTATTATAAACTATTTCCCTATCATCACTTTCTGACATTTAGCATTTTCAGACATTAAAAGGGACCCATTTCAATTAAATTGAAATTAAATTTAATCCATCCATCCATCCATCCATCCATCCATCCATCCATCCATCCATCCATCCATTAATCCACCCATCCATCACTACCATATAATTTGCCGCCTTTCTCCAGCAATGACTTGGTGAGAGGTGTGGTACACCTCAGAAGCACTGCAGGTCCTTCACAACTCCCACTGGACATATAATAATTCACACATGCACAGTCATAGATAAAGCCAGTTTAAAAAAAAAAAAAAACAATTACTACAATATATATTTACTGGAGGAAGCAGGGGAAGAGAGAAACTAGACAAGGCAAGGCAAGGTAAAGTTATTTATATAGTACATGTTAGTGCCAAGAGAAATCTAAGTGTTGTACATGAGAAAAGGGAATAAGAGTACATTGTAGTGGCACCGAGGCAACACAATTAAAGAGAATAAAAGTAAATAATTACAAATAAATGATTATGTAAAATAAATAATAAAAAAAGATAAAATCATTGATTAACACCAGCAGAGTAGCTACATGCAAGAACCCAGCTGGGATTCTGGCCCAGGACCTTCTTGGTGGAAGTCAACATCTCAACAGTGTCACTGGAATACATTGAATAAAATACAAATGCATTATCTCAATTTTTTGTAACTTAGTTAGCTTAAGTTGAAGCTCAGTTACTTGTGAGCAACAGTAACAAGTAGACATATAATAATCGAGCAATTACTCATTAGCAATTCCAACTGTTTTTCTCCCTACTGTAAAATCTGTATTTATTAACCACAGTGAACAATTGTTTTAATGCATAAGCATAAAATTTAATGCATAAGTATAAAACATAAAAAATAACCATATATGGTATTTGCGGTTAACTTCCCAACCATTAGAATTTCCTGGTTATCATCCAGCTTACAGCTATTAACTGTCGGATTCAAGAAGGATTCATTTCTCAAGTTCTAATTTTAGAAACAAAGTTCAAAACATAATTATTCTATTTAGCAAGTTTGTGAATAAAAATCTAACTGTGGTATAAAGGAAATAAGACTCAGAAATGTTTGTTAATTACAATAAAATAATATTCGCCTGGCGTTCCTGAAGGCTCTGGATGTTATGGGGTTGTGTTGGTTAACATAACTCTCCAATATTGTGCGGATATCAGGGGCAGTTTTACTGGATTGGAAGACCAGGGAGGTGGTTTCCCTATTTAGAAAGGGACCAGAGGCTGTGCTCCAACTACACACTCTTAATCCTCACTGGTAAGGTCTATTCAGGCGTTGTGGAAAGCAGGGTCTTTTATAGGGCATTAAAGAGTTGTGATTTCCCAAGTCAACGTTGGAGTTGACTCCAACTAAGTGCAGGAGTATCTTGGGGTCTTGTTCTCGAATAAGTAGAGAAAGGAATGTGAGATTGATAGGCGATTTGATGCTGCAGCTGCATTTGTCTGTCAAACCTAAAGCAAGTGGCAGTGCTATTTGCTTGTGAGCTAATGACATATGCAAGATTATAGAGAAAATTAGCATTACCCCTGCACAAGGATGACATGATTGTAAAGCGTTTCTGTAGTTTTGGTTTGGCACCAGCCTGATTGGCAAGATTAAGGTGATGTATAGTAGCATTGAGAGTGTGCTGAAGATTAACAGTAATTTGTGTGTTCCTTTCAGGGTGTGTAGAGATGTCCAGCAAGGCTGCATGCTGTCCGGGATGGTTTATGCGCTCTGCCTGGAACCCCTGCTTCCAATGTTTGGTTTTATCTGCCTATGCTGATAATGTCATTATTTTTATTAGAAATCAGCAAGATGTTAACCAACTGACTGAGATAACCCATAAATTCTATTATATTCTATTCTATTGTAAAACTTTAGCAGAAAGTTAGTCTCTCTTGTTTTTGCACCCCTGGTTTCGAAGTTTGTGCATCTTGTTCTTGGCATTTCTTAGAATGTTTTTTCTTTTTATAAAAGCTGCTTTGTGGCTGTTTACAAGATATATGAATTAATAAAATTGAACTTTATTGTAATTACACTCTCACAAGTACAAAGCAACAAAATGAACTCTCTGCATTTAACCCCTCTCCTTGAGGAGCAGTGGGGTGCCATTTTGCGGTACCCGGGGAGTAGTGTGAGGTTAAGGGTCTTGCTCAGTGACCAAGAGTAGCAGTCCGTGGGAGTCCCACACATATATAAAGACTTGTTGTGAGTAAAGCATAAAATGTTTTGCCAGTAAGAACTGCTGTTTTTTTTTTTTTTTTGGCCTTGGGTGAAAATAACTAATTTTTCTGTCCTTAGGTACTGTTTTGAACTGCATTTGTAGGAATCATTGCACGAACTGTGAGTGTTTGCTTTGAACATAAGCCTTAAAAATATTGGTTATATTAGATGAAACCGCTCAGTCAAGTCAGGCTCAGTTCCAGTTAGTTTCTGTTTGTTGTGTTTTCAACAAGTGCCGTGAAAAAAAGGGGAAAATAATTTATTTTAGAGTAACAACTTTAAAATCATTTTTGAAAAGAAACAATTGGGCCATTTTTGTAACATGTGAACTATGGCCTTTGGCGGAAGACGTAAGCATAGAGAGTTAAGATGTTATGCATGAGCAGATGAATTAGACAGATAACTGACTGACTGTTAGATTAATGGGTAAATTGAATTAGCCTTAAATTTGAGTGAATATCACAAAGACATAATTGGATGGATGGATGGATGGATGGATGGATGGATGGATGGATGGATGGATGGATGGATGGATGGATGGATGGATGGATGGATGGATGGATGGATGGATGGATGGATGGATGGATGGATGGATGGATGGATGGATGGATGGATGGATGGAGCAAATTACACAAATCTTTTACAGTTGGTTAAAACTTTCTTTCATTTTTTCAGTTTATGATTTATAAACAGTTCAACAAGAATAATGTTAGAAAGATAGGTTGGTCTTTCAAGAAAATACTTAGTAGAGCTGATTATTGCAAAGAGTGCAATGCTGCTAAATGAAATAAACCAGTCATGGTTTTGCTTGCTATTTAAAAAAAAGCCTAAAGACAACCTTGAATATAAAAGCATCCATATTAGTTGTTATCACGTTTTGGTGATGGAGGACCCAGACCCTGTGAAAGGAGGACAGTCTCAAAATATTATCAATATCATAATGATATCTGAGGGTAGGGTAGAGAAACACAAAGGACTCGTCACCACTTGTGAGAAAGTTGAAAAAAGTAACAGAACCAATCAGTTAACAGAGAAGACGTGAGGAAATAGCATAGGACTAAAAAGAAGAGGATGATAACTGTGTAAAGAATAATGTGGATTTGATAAAAATAACATAAGACAAGAGCAGATGGAAGCAAATGACTTATTGACCCCAGAGATAAGTGAACAATAGAAGTAAGTAGACATGGGTTTTATAAAACTGTAAAATCTGATATGTGATATAATCTGAAAACCAAACACCAGTGAGTGAAAAGGAAAAACCAAAGAAAAAAACTGACTATAAACTCAAAAATTAGAAGCTCAATCTCCATAATAATAGGATTTCTCCATTTCAGTGCTCGACCCTTTAGAGCAGTGGTTCCCAAAGTGTGGGGCGCGCCCCCTAGGGGGGGCGCAATGCCATTGCAGGGGGGGCGCGGGAAGCGGTATGGATGAATGAAGAAAAAAAAAACAAAAAACAAAAACAGCGCTTGCTTGACTGAGCATAATGGACAGTTGTGACACTGCAACCCAGATTTGAGAAGATCTACAGCAACAAGCAGGCTCACTACAGCCACTGAAAAGATGTGAGGATTAAAGTACAAAGAAAAAACTCTCAGGGAGCTGGAAATTTTATTGTAATCCAAAGGGGGGCCCAGAAGAAACTCTTTGGGAACCACTGCTTTAGAGGATTCAGGTGTGCTTCCACACACCTGAATCTTATGGCTGAATAACTTCCTCAGCATGCAGTCACCTTCTCTAGAGTCCTATTGAAAACCTGATTAACATAACTAGTCTTTTATTTAAAAAAAAGGAATGTTGATGATCCATAAATAAATACCAGAGATAATATAGGACGAAATAAAGGACGGTAATTATCTAAAGAACAGAAGCTTCCATTCATGAGCTTAACAATAAATAGCTTATGCACTGAACTTTAGCTGGGCAACATAACTTTGCTTATGGCATAAAAACAAAGTGTTAAGAGAGATATAATTTGTCTTTTAGAATTTTTTTATGTTTTATTGCTTTGGTGAAGAGGACCAAATAAATGAATCTGGACAGAAATCCTTCTGATTAACCTAGGGAGAAATTCGATTTAATATTTCAGTCAAGCGTTGTTAAAGTTGCTTACCTGTTATTTTAGTACTTTTTTTCCCCAATAAAAGTTGCCATATATTTAAAGTTTAAACTTTTATATCTGTTATAGCCATACTCTGATGAAAACAGATTTTTTAAATTTCAAAATAGAAATAAATTCACCCTTCAGATTAAATAGCTTAAGTTTTTGTAATAAGGATTTTGGTTTTTTTTTGTTTTTTTCAAAAATGAGGGTTCTAAATCATTTGTCTTTCAGAATAAGCATATATATTTAAATATATATATATTCATGGAATATGTTATAAATGTAGATTATATATTATAATACTGTGTATGTATTAAAAAAAGTTGTTTATTTTTGAAAATTAAGCTGATAGGGCCCTAAAAATTAAAGTGTTAGTTCCTTAATTTGATCATGAAAAATTAAGGTTCACTGTGGCTGGCTATTTATAAAACAAGTTGCTAATGCATTTTGGGTCCAACTATGAAACAAAACATTTATTATGAGGTTGAACAGGTAGGCACCAAGTGGCAGGCACCAGAAAAAGTATGCCTCAAGCATTTCCTACTTCCTACATGTCCTTCTTGTCTTGTTGAAGGGGCCAAATAAATGGATTTGTACAGAAACCGGTCTGATTCCTCCTCTAGGAAGCAAATAGGAAAATATGGCACATTTAAATACAGCTTCTTTGTTAAATTTGCTCGATTGCACTTTCAGACTTTCCCAGCAATAAATCATGTGTTCCTTTGCGCACAATAATCAGCGGGCTTTTCGTCTGCTCCCCCCGCACACATGAACTGCTTTGGTACACAAAACGCACAACAAAAACAACGCACAGCGCGGAGAGAGGCGCTGTGCGTTGATTAATTGCTGAGAGGGGGAGTCCGGCGGCTGTCTGTCTGTTCAAACACTCTCTGGTGAATCCTACAAGGATGTAAACAAACTTCATCCCCCTGCTCCGGATCCTGCTCGGCGGAGAGAACAACAAAAAGCTGCTTTCTGTGTTTTTTTTCCTCTCTGGCCAGGTGTCATGGCTGGGTCCTTGACGGCTCCTGTCTTCCCCGGTGCCCCTGCGGGCCTTCGAATACATTACAATAATTAAGCCTTCCGTGATTTAGCCTCCTTGGAGAAAAGTCCAACAATGTAATTAAGGGCAAGCTCGCTGTATTAGGTATGAATATTCAAAACTGTGTCAATTAATTAGCCGGTGCATCTCTCCTGTAATGTCTGGGTCCTTAAAGCCCACTCCAAAGGTCATCCGTGTCAACTGAGAGCATATTTTAAAGGCATCAGGTAATTGCAAGGGAAATTACCTTTTAAGCGCCACAGAAACAAGAGAATATTTCAGATGAACTGATAAATAAAGAAAAGGATTGTTTTTTTGTTTTGCAGGCGTCTGGGAAAAAAGAAAAAAAATGAGAAGTGCAACTCTAAAGGCCCTTGGAGGCCAACGTGGGTAAAAGCATCCCTTAAAACGCCCGGGAAAGATCAATATTAAATCTGTTTTCGCAAAGGGGGCCGTTAAATAGACACTGCGGCTAATCTGCATAACAAAATTAATTAGGCAGTCCGCCGCATTCTTCAGCGCCTCACCAAACTCCTGGACAAATAACTAGTTGTGTAAAGCGCACCTTCTGGGCATATGGAACATATGTTGGAATTATCCTTAATTGACTAATTACATAAATTACTCATTAAGTTTACAGCACATCAATTATAAAAGATGTATCAATTAATTTTGCATAAATTACAGGCGGCACTCCGCACAATGAGGGCGACGGGGGGAAGGAGGGTGGCAAGGAAGGGGGGAGAGGGGGGCATCCTCTCCAAAGGTGTGTGCGCGTTTGTGTGCGCGCGTGCAAACGGGTGCGCGCGTGAGCGACGGTCGTTTGTTTGTTTCCAGCCTCTAATAATTATTTGCTCAGCTTAAGGGCAGAGATATCCGTTCTCTGTCTCCAACTCGCGAAGGGAAATGTGGGGGTAATGGCAATTATACTAATAATAATAATCTTAAAGACCTTTCTCTCCAACTCATAAGGGGCGCATCGTCGCGGAGAGAGCCATTAAAATCAATTAGCGAGGCCTATTGTTTTCAATGGAAAATTAAGCCGGTTTAGGACCGCACAGAGCAAACGCCGCGAGGCTTATTTGTGCAATGAGGTATTATTTAAAAGAAAAGATCTTCCCGTTTTTTCCCCATAAAACAGCGAGAAAGCTGTCCATTGTGTCTGCCTGTTGACTGTTTTCTGGGTTCTTAGGAGAAAAAAGAAAACTCTCCTT